GGTCATATGGACGGCCAAAGTGAAAACCATCCCACTTGGTTTAAGCAGTGGGGGAGGGTGTAAAAGGATAAGCATTATCCTTAGGAGTATGAATCCTAGGAGGGCTCTGCATGGAGAAATACAAGTCCTACTAGGATTGTGCCATATGAAACTTATAAAAGCTCACAAGCATCACCTTGGAGGAGGTAATTGAACACAATCTTTCTGAGAACTTTTGAGCTTTGTCTATTTGTCAAGCTTACTGACTTAGGCATCGGAGAGGTTTCCGGCACACACCCGCCGGCTAGCTCACGTTTGTGTTTTCAGGTGGTAAAGCGACGTCGTACGATTTGGTAGTCTTTCCTAAATTCGGCCATGCCACCAGGGGTCTCAACTAGATACCTATACTTACCCATCTGATGTATAATTTACTTATAATTTATATCGGTGCAAAAATCGTGCTCAGTAGCTCGGTTGAGCGCACGCAAGAGTGCCTGGGTAACCTAAGTCTGCAAAGTAGAAAACAGATGGGGTTAAAGCACTGATCATTGGACTGTGCTACAATTTAAAAGCAAGGTATAAGAGCCCTACTTCGGCCTCAAAAAACTGGTTCTATCTCGGTTCATCAAAAGGTTTGGTAGCTCGGTTTGAGCAGGTTGCTCGTTAGACCGGTTTATCGTCTAGGGCCAGCTTTCTGAGTTCGGTCTAAAAAACTAAGAAAGCTGGTTTAGCCCCAAGGCCTAAATCGGTTGTAGTGTGAATAAAGTTACTTCGGTTAAGCCTCTAGGGGCAGCTTTCTGAGTTCGGTTTAGAAACTAAGAAAGCTGGCTTGGCCCCAAAAGCTTAGTTCGGTTGAAAACCAAGGTTCCTAGTTTGATATGTTCAAAACTCGGTGATCTTATTTCGGCTAAAGTGAGTCAGGCGTTGGTGACTCTTTGAGACTCTCAAGTTCTAATTCGGCTATTGACTACAGTGATCTACCTATTTAGGACAAACAAGATCCTAGTTCGGTTGCTACCTAATTTTGGATCTAAGGCAAGTTTTTTACAGAAGTTCATGCACGTATGAGCTCTGCTATCATTTTTTCATAAAAGTACAGAAGCAAAGCGACAAATGAAAGAAAATGTTTACAAAAAGCATACAAAACAAAGTTATACAGATACGAAAGCAAGACAAAGGAAGCAAAATAAGTTTACTTACCAGGTTGAAGAAGGGGGATCCGATGATGGGAAAGTGGCAGCAAAATCAGTCTTCAGAAGCAACGGAAGAACAGCAAAAACACAGATAGAGAAGATGAAGAATGGAAGGTGAATGATTCAAGAAAAAGAAAGGTTATTTTGTGAGAGATGAGAGAGAAAAAAGCGGCAAAAAGGGGCGGGACTGTTCAAAAAGTTCGAAGTACGAAGGTGGCGTGATAACAGTTCACAGCCTATCAGAGCCCGCCGCGTGGCAAGGGAAAGGGAAGCGTTACAGTCATGATTGAAGAGACGTTTTGACCGGACATAGTGAAGCCCGAAGTAAAATTAGCTCGGTTGGAGAGCCCGAGGGTTTTTCGCTCGGCTGAAGAGGCTAAAGAGTTTTTAGCTCGGCTGGAAAGGCTTAATAAACTCTAGCTCAGCCAGTAGACTGGTAATCCCAATCATGTCGCGCAGATGGAATTAAGGGGCAATTGAGAGGGTAATTTTTGGAAAAAATTGGGCCGAGCTGCGAGTTGGGCTTTGAGGCCCAAAGTGCGAAGCAAATCAAAATCCCAAATTAGAGAGAGACAATGAAATGAGCAACCAATGATGGCAGTGAGAAAGTAAAGTATGGTGCTAAGGCTTTTGGTTGAAATTCCTAATCAACAACCCCTAAATCTCAAAGATAAGAATTGAAATCAATCATAAAGATTTCTCTCTAAAAATTTACTAGAAACTAGAAGGATGAAAAAAGAAGACAATCCTTAAAATTTGACTAGAAACTAGAGGGATGAGCAAAAGATAATTGCAGAGAATCAAGTTACTTGAATTGATCTTCAATGAGTTCGCATGCTTTATTGTCAACATGTTAGTGGAGTGCCTAGGTAGGTTCACACGATTCCTTGTTGATCTTCAATGGGTTCATGTGCCATAGTGGCTCTGGTTGACTCATAATCATGGGTGGCAATGGTGGCACAAAGGTTAGTGATGGTGGAAAGAGGAAAAAATGATAAAGAGAGAGTGATAAAACAAAATAGAGTAATATTGTAAGGCCCGTTTGATTACTTGGAGTATTAGTGATGGGATTAACAATATTATAGGATTAACAATCTCATAGGATAATTATGTGTAGGATTGTTAATATACCTACTCGTTTTTTGTATTAAATATACTATAATTTTGTGGGATTAAAAGTCCTACGTATTACTAAGTTGGATGTCATTTGTGTGATCCAAACGTAAGAATATGAATTTAGTAGGAATTAATAGTCCAATCCTATATCATTATCTCGGAATCAAACAGGCTGCAAGGGTGGAATGCTTGGTTTGTATCTCTGTATGTATTGAGAGACAAAAATAATGTAATATAATGAGAGAAAAGTGAAGGTAAAGCAAGCATTTAAAAAAAAAAAAAAATCAAACCTTGGGAAAAATTTATAATAAATACAAATCTTAGGGTGTTGTGAGTATAATTTACCTTCTCTTTCCTCTTCTCTCATGCACATAAAATTTATTCAAAAAAATAAATAAAAAAAGTAAAATTGGCAGATAAAAAAAAATAAAAGATGACATAACTTTGGCAGCATCACCATCCAATAGTGAAGTATAAAAAAAATAAAGAAAAGAAGTAGGTGGGAGTGACCTCTTCGTCCTAATGTCCATGAAACCTCTTCAAGCTGAGACAGACCAACGACTATCCCAACCATATGAGTATGAATATGAATATTATGAGTATGAACATAAATACCCCCATCTAATAATATCTGTATGGTCTACACTCTAACCCCTACCAAGCTACTCCACCACTCCTAAAACCCTCTCTCTCTCTCTCTCTCTCTCTCTCTCTCAACTTTTCATTTTCCGCCAATTTAGAGAGGGAGCAAAGGAACAGTGTGACTTCTCGTGATTTTCAGCTAATGCTTTAACCATTTTCAACTTCTCTCTCTCTCTTCATTCAATCCCCCAAGCAACGATACCCTTTCTCTCTCGTGCCCTAAACAGTCCTACTCTCTCTCTCTCTCTCTCTCTCTCCATTTCAATTACATTCACCTCATCAACACCCACCTCTTGGTTGAACTGTTATTTGATCGCTGTATCAGTGTTTTGGGTTTGGGTGGTTCTGATCTTGATTTTTGGGTAAGTGCATTTTGTTTTTCTTCTCTCTCTCTCTCTCTCTCTCTGACTGTGCTGATGTTCTTGTTAGACCCTTATTTTTGTTTTTTATTTACTGGAATTGAATTTGATCAAATCTCTATTGATGTTTAGTATCCTCTGTTTACTTCTGAATGAAGATATATTTTTTAATGTTTTTCTTTAAATGTATTGGAATTGAATTTGATCAAACTTTTATCTTCAGTTCTCTTTTTACCCTTTTACGGATTTACTCATTTTGATGAATTCTGATCCAAAAAAATACGACTTTTTGGTGTCAGTAGATTGTTTATTCACTTTTTATATGTTGAACCAAATTTCTTCAACTGGGTTGTGATGATCTATCGATCAGGGTAGTCCCAGTCATGGTGGAATCAGGATTTATGTTTTCCTATTTAACAATCTGATATCCAAAATTTAAATGATGAAAATCCCAAATATATATGGCCAGTGTGGAAATTCGAGAGGGGGTAAAAGCAAAATTTTAGATGAGCAAATTAAAAAAAAAAATTAATAATAATTACAGATAGAAATGATTTTCCAGAATTTTAGTGAGGGAAAATAAATTTTTTTTTTTAAATAATAGGTAAAATAATATTTTAATAATTTATTGCCTTATGGATAGAAATGATATTTTCCAGAATGTATTGGTGGGAAAATTGAAAAAATTTAAACTAACTGGTAAAATAATATTTTAAAAAATTTATAGGGAAAAATTTTAAAAAAAATTAAAAACCCCATATACAATTGGAATTTTCCTAAGTGGCCAACTAACCTCCATTGGCCATTGGCCCATTGCCGTACACTGGCTCTGCCCATGGTCCAATTTTGAAGCTAAGATTAGTTTTAGACAGTTGATAAATCAAATCATGGGCACAAACTGCACACCTGAAAATTGAGAAACAATGAGCTTAGTTCATGTTGTGGGTTTTTCTATGTTAAACTGGAAGGGAAATTGGTGTTGAAGCAAATTTTTACTAGATTATGAGAATTTATATTTCTTCTAGAATTAAGAGATTACTCTTAATTTGAATCTATCTGAAACTTGGCAACTTTGGCAGGATTTGGATGCTGAATATTAGATGGAGTCTAGAGATCTTAGCATGTCTTTCAATTTTGGGATTTAGTATGATCACAAACAACTTTGGAGGATAGGTGGCATGTTTTTCCGTTTATGTGGTTCTTTTCCCGGGAAATGCTTTGTTGAAAAATGGGTTAGCATAACCTTGCAGCACCACATCCATAATTTGTAGTATATAGATGAATCCAGTAAATATGGGTACTTCTGAAATTGTTGAATCAATGGAAGAGTTTGATTCAGGATTGAAAATGGATGAACATGATGGAAAGCGTCATATGCTGAAGCCTGGACAAATATGTTCTATAGAGGACGATATTAATCAACTTTTCGAGGGAATAGACGTCAGGACTTCTGGTAGGAGTTCAGGTCTGTTGCAGAAAGTTTGTAAAGACAGTTTAAGGAAGAGTGCCATGAAAAGACCAATGAGACCTGGTTCGTCTCAAGCTTCTGGAATTGGAATTTCAGAGTCTGTGAGTTTGAAACAGGCATTGAGAGGGTTATGCATCTCCCAGGCATCGGAGATGGCAGCTATGAAACGGTTATCAAAACCAGGAGGTTCATCAAGGGCCTCAGAAGCAGGAACTATCAAAAGATTGTATAGGTCGGTGGTAGTTGAAGCTGGAGAATCTGGCCTAGCCCTTAATGAAGGTAAAGGTAACTTGGTGGAAATCTCACTTGTTCCAGAAGGAAGCACATCGAATTTCTCTGAGAAAATGTCTGAATCTGGCCAATTACCTGAAGTGGAACTATTGAACCAAAGTGCTCTAATGGGAGAGGATGAGATTATTCCTTTGCCCAATCATGGTGGGTATGAAATTTCATTGGCCAAGTTAGGGCGGCATGGAAAGCCGAAATTGACACGTTCTTCATCTAGCACTCACGCGAGTGAGAAACAGACAGTGGTTGATGAGATTGTTCCTGCCTTAGCTGAAGTTCCGGTCAAACCAGTAGAACCAGACAAGGAACAGAAAGGCAAGTTGCATTTTACTTCTTCCCCGTCTAGTGACAATAACGCTAGCAATAATGTTAACAAATCTGCAAGCATTAGTCGACATATAATCAGACCCGTTTTCAGGAACAAGAACTCTGCTAAAAATAAAGAAAAACAGGATTCAACTTCTGTCCCTAGCAGCTCCAATCAATCCAATGGTGGTGTAGATAATAACTTGGGTCCTATTACTAGTAAAGAAAATGAGAAATCTTCAGTATCAACCACTACAAAAGTTAGCAGTGAAGTCAGTTCAAATGCTACAGACTCTGGTCCTGGTAAACCAGTTTTGAATTCAAATATTAGTAACAGAACTAAGACTGTAGTTTCGAAATCGGATGAAAATTCAAGGTCAAGAGAAAAGGGGGAGTTCTCTCAAAGCTCGAAGAGTAGCATCGGTGAATACAGCAGTAGTACGAGTATTAGTGAGGAGAGCACTCTAAGTGGATCGAGCCGCAGTGGGTATAGACCACACATGTCGAAAGACTTGAGATGGGAAGCGATTCGATATGTTCAGAAGCAACATGGGAGCAGCTTAGGTTTGAGACACTTCAAGCTAATTAAGAAACTTGGTAGTGGGGACATTGGGACTGTTTACCTTGCTGAGCTAACGGGCACAAACTGCCTATTTGCTTTGAAAATTATGGACAATGAGTTCTTGGTTAGCAGGAAGAAAATGGCTAGGGCTCAAACTGAAAGAGAGATACTGCAAATGCTGGATCATCCATTTCTCCCTACACTATTTGCTCATTTTACAGCAGATAAATTCTCGTGCTTGGTTATGGAATATTGTCCCGGTGGAGATCTGCATGTGCTCCGGCAAAAGCAACCTAACAAGAGTTTCTCTGAACAAGCTGCAAGGTAATTTTCATGTTGAAGTTCATCACTGATAATTTATGCATTTTCTTCCCATGTCATAATAAAGTATCTTATATTTGATGAGCTGTATACTTAAACACATTACTGCAACATGTCTGATTGAATAGACGGGTTTATTATGTGTATCATGTAATCATACTTTTCTGCATCAAATAGTAACACAAGTGTAAATTGAATGAAATTCAAAATTCATCATAACTTTTTTTTATTGTTAATATAGAGTGAGAATTTGAATTTGAATTTGATTAATGGAATATCTGCAAATAGAAATTGAGTGGATATTTACCCAAATTAGAGCATAAACCTAAATTGATTTAGAGGACCATTCAGGAACAAGAAAAATGACATTATGATTTGGGTTGGATCTTGCATTTAACTTGGCAATTTCCCATGATACATGTACATTGTCACATCATTTTTTTTTTTCTTTTTTTTCTCCCTGTTCTATGTATCAGAACAGTTTTAATAAGGCTGAATGTGTGCATTGGACAATAATAGTAATACAAGGTGATTATTTTCTGACCATTAGTATTTATTTTTAAAAAATTATTTGCTGACCATGTGTACTTATATGTACTGTTGTCATCTTTAGTGGGGAAGTTTAAATCCATTAGGCTTCACTTTTTGTGCCTACATTGATTTCAATGGAAATGAGGAACTTTGTACCCTACAAGTGCTCTTACCTCAGTAAAAGACAACGCACAATTAGTACGTATTAATGTGTATTTGAGAGGGCAAAGATTAGGTAGGTACACACCTAATCTTTGGCATAGTGCACAAAGTGGTTGTCTCGAGCTAGTCAGTCAGTCAATAAAATGGGTAGGCCACCACCACCGTAGGAATGATTTTTTTTTCTTTCCCTCAGCTGATACATGAATGTGAAATGTACACAACTACCAGTGTGTGGTTCTGCATTTGGGTGTCTGTTTCATCTAAACCTTGAATTTGCTGACATTGGACATGGATTGCATCCTTTTGAATCATCACTGACTTCACATCCCTTGTTGTTTCTCTCACACCGCGTTAGGTTTCATCACTCCACCTCTCTCATTGTCTCTGTGTGTGCAATTAGACTAGAAGCAATTGAATTAGGGGGGGCTTTGACACCGGCAATAATGACAACTCACTCTTGGTCATTGCCTCTTGCTTCGGCATCCTGTATTTTCTGGGTCTACCTCTCCTCTCCTCCTAACATGGCATGACCATTGGAGGAAGACCTTGTGATGGGCCCTCACGGTGTTTGGTAAGATTCTATTGGTGGGTGAAGTGGTAACGTTGGTGGCCACAGCAGGGCTTTGCTAGCGCAGTGGCTAGTGGCATTGCTGTTGGTGATAGTAAGAGCTCAGTCCTCTTTAATTCAGTTCCATTTAAGTAGAGGTAGTGTGGTGAACCTTACCATAAACTACTCATGTGGCCAAAAAAAATTTGTTATAAAAAAATCTCATATTTTACATATAAATATTTTTGTTCAATTTTATGAAATGATTTGCAGTTTGTTTCATCCATGAATTATCTTATCCCTTGTCTTATTTTATTTTCCGGTCGAATTTCATGCAGATTTTATGTTGCCGAAGTCCTCCTGGCATTGGAGTATCTACACATGCTTGGAGTTGTCTACCGAGATTTAAAACCCGAAAACATACTGGTCCGGGAAGATGGTCACATCATGCTTTCGGATTTTGACTTGTCACTCCGATGCGCTGTTAATCCTACACTGCTCAAATCATCACCAACTGTCGAGTCTCCTAAAAGGGAATCAAGCCCATGCACGGAATCAAGCTGTATACACCCTTTCTGCCTCCAACCGTCGTGGCAAGTCCCCTGCTTCACCCCTAGGCTTATATCCGCTGCAACAAAAACCCGAAAGCTTAAAGCCGACCTTGCAGCCCAAGTCAGCCCATTACCTCAGCTTGTAGCTGAGCCGACAAGTGCCCGGTCCAATTCCTTTGTTGGGACCCACGAATACTTGGCTCCAGAGATCATCAAAGGAGAGGGTCACGGGAGTGCCGTCGATTGGTGGACTTTCGGAATATTCCTGTATGAGCTAGTATACGGTAAGACACCCTTCAAGGGACCTGGAAATGAGGACACGCTGTCAAATGTTGTGTCACATAGCCTCAAGTTCCCCGGGAGCCCCATTGTGAGTTCTCATACGAGAGATTTGATCAGAGGGCTGTTGGTGAAGGAACCCGAGAATAGGTTAGGGTCTGTGAAAGGGGCAGCTGAGATTAAGCAGCATTCGTTTTTCGAGGGCCTTAATTGGGCTTTGATACGATGTGCAATTCCACCAGAGTTGCCTAAGGTGTTTGATTTTGGGAATGTCCTTGCTGACATGTCAGCATCGCAGAATAAGGAAAGCGGTAGGTGTCAGGAAGAGTTTAAAAGTACAGGAGAGCATATGGAGTTTGAGATGTTTTAGCGCTCGAACTACTTTGATGCTGCGATAAAAAGGTGTTTGATTTTCATTTTAAAAATGAGATTTCATATCCTTGTTTTTATTTTTATCTGATATATATAGTATATAGTGTACATGTAACTTGAAAAATTGGTGGCGAGTTAAAGATTATGACATATTAATACTGAATTATTGTCCTGAGATTATGCAAAGAGGCTGAGAATTGCAGAGAGGCATTGTTCTTATGAGAGGCTGTGAGCATTTTTCATGCAGGATTTGCCATCCGTTTGGTTTGGACATGAATTGAGGTTTTTTGGAAGCCTTCTCTGCATTTTTTTTTTTTTTTTTAAAGACATTTTGAAAAGCTAATAGATTTTCAATTACTGAAAAATCTGACACTATAGATAACATGGTTTGAAATTGGGTGGAAAATATTTCCATTGAGAAGATTTTTATATCTTCTTTCTCTAGTTCAATGGATAAACTGAGATATTAATTATGAGTTTTAAGTAAGGACTTTGTAATGTGGCTAGGATTGATCACTTAAACTGGTGACATTGATTTTCCACCACAAAATGGAGATCTGGATTGGATCTCAATTTGGAAGGATGTGGATCCAAGGGGTAATTTTATTTTCACACATTAGTTCTCTTCAATTCACACACTTAATAAAAAAAATTATTAATACCATTTTATTCTAAAATAAAAATATTAGCGTAAATTACAAACACACTCTTGATGTTTATTTAAATTACAAATTACTCTATATAGTTCTAGACATTACATTATGCCCTTAAAGTTTTTAATTTCATAATAAATAGGTCTTTTTATTAATAAATCATAAAGTTAATTAACAGTTTTTAATAATGTTAAAATTTTATTGCAATTAATAATTTAGATAATTTTATTATTGCATAGGTGAATAGTTAGAAATTTTACCTTTTCAATTAATTTTGTTAAATAAAAAATTCTGTCAGGAAGGTATTTGTAATTTTTTAAACCATAGAGGGCAATTTATATTTTAAACAAATCTCATAGATGTATTTGTAATTTACCCAAAATATTATAATACTCTCATCTTCTTGTACTCAAACTCTAATTCTAAAACATCACAATCATTTTCTATCATTAGTGTCACCTCTCTTATCTGCCATCCCCTCCCGTCGCCTCTTTTCTTATTCGCTCACGATCACTTTCTGAAGAGAACCATACACTCCCAGAAGTCTCTCACCACGAATCACTCAATGTTGACTGTGGAGGTCTAGAATGGGGATGAACTAAAAGTAGCGGTGATGGTGGTGATAGAGGGTTGAAAGTGGCGGCGGCGGCGGCGGCAATGGAGGGCTGAAAGTGGTGGCAACAACAATAAAGAAGTGGGTGAATAAAAAAAATAAGCTAAAAATAATCTAGTTATAGAATATGTTTTTAAAAACAAATAAATAAAAATTTCTCATTTCAATATGGTTTTATCTTTTTAGGGGCAAAAAAAAATAAAAAAATAAAAATTTTTGTTTTAGTATTTATTTTTGTCAAATTAATTTATAATTTTTTCAAAAAAATTTCAAAAAATTGATTCAAACATTGAAACCAAACATAGCCTAAATGAGGGTAATATTGAAGTATAGAGATGTGTACTAAGAATTTATATTTTTATAATGTGTGTATTGAAAATGTGTTCATTAAGTATGTGTACTAAGATAAATTAATGAGTAGAAATAAAGTTATCTGAATCCAAAGTAATATAAACTTGCAAGTAACTTTATTTCCCTAAAATGTCCTTTCTTTGTGATTTTCTCTTCTATAGTGTCTTCAATTATTCCGCTTAATATGGTCCTAAAACAAAAACAAAAATAAAAATAAAAAATAAAAACCCTCTCTGTTAAATTGTGAAAGGAAAATGTTTGGTAGCTCAAAATTTTGTGGTTCAAATGGCTCAAATCTGTCAAAATGACGTTTTACACTCATTTACACTCAAAACGACGTCGTTTTGAGTGATTTGAGCCATTTGAGCCACAAAATTTTAAACTACCTGACATTATTGATTATGAAAAAGTAAGATCAGGGCTATTTTGATAATCAGCTAAGAACAATAGCCCATCTCTGCAAAATTCAAAAAGTTATTCATTGTTCATTAGTTTAGGCCCAAGATTTGGTAGAGATTATTTTAAGTTAAAAATTGATAATCAGAAATTAAAAATAAAAAACACCCCTCTTCTAACTTTTAAAAAATAATTTTCTTTTTAATTTATTTAACTATTTCTGTCTAGTAAGTTATAAGTAAAAGTTACACTAAATAATTTGTCATAAACTTTCAAATTAAAATAAATTATAAGTTATTTCTATAATCTCCACCAAACACCCCGTGTTTGGCAAGCATCCGTCCAACTTATCTAACGTGATTCAATTGAATCTTAAGTGGACAATTTCAAGGGTGAAGCACACTAATGGTCCTATAGTTTGGGTCATGTGTTATTTTAATCTTCGACTTTTTAATTGTGACACATTTGATCCTAAGTTTTAAATTTTGTTCCAAATAAGGACAATTGTAAATACTATTGGATTTTTCAAGGACAAAATGGTCAATTTGATAAAATATAAATTAATTTGACAAAAATAAATGTCAAAAAATTATTTTTGAATTTTTAAAAATTATTTCTAACTACTAAAGATAAAATTATATAAAATTAATAAATCTTTTAGACATTTATTTTTTTTTATCAAATTAATTTTTATTATGTATTTGGATGATAATTATGTAAATTTAATTTTTAAAAATTAATCATGTAATTTTAATTAATTCTACATAATTTTATTTTCGATGAGTAGAAATAATTTTTAAAATATTTTAAAATATTTTTTTGACATTTATTTTTATCATATTAGTTTATATTTTATCAAATTGACGATTTTGTCCTTGAAATTAAGCAATGGTATGTTCAATTGTCCTTATTTGAAATAATATTCAAAATTTATGGTCAAATATGTCACAATTAAAAAGTTGAAAATTAAAATGATATAAGGCCCAAACTATAAGCACTATTAGTATAATTTGCCCCAATTTCAATGTAATAGACAAATGGATACAAATTTAGCAATTTAATAAAATTAAGTTTCGGTTCCATAAATATTAATATATGTATATATTATTTATTTGTTCAATAATAAACTATCAAAACTTGAAGGGAGGCTTTTACTTTTAGAATTGTTTCACTACTTTATTTTATTTTAGGGTAAATTATAAATACATCCTTGAAATTTACTTAAAATATAGACTATTTCCTATAATTTAAAAAATTATAAATATCCCCTTATTAAAAAATTTATTTAACAGAATTAACCAAAAAAAAGAAATTCATAATTATTCTCCTATACAATAATAAAATCACCTAAATTATTAATTGAAACATATTTATCACATTATTAAAAACTGTTAATTGACTGGATGATTTATTAATAGAAAAGACCATTTGTTATAAAATTAGAAACCTCAAGGGGTATAATATAATTTTTAGAACTACAGAAACGATTTATATTTTAATCAAACCCCATAAGGCTTTGTTTGGGAAGAGTGGGTTAGGTGGGTTTGGGACTATTTTAGTTACAAAAAGATAAAATAAATTTTTTAGTCCAATAAGATAAAATATCGCATCTAATCTATAATCATTATATTATTACTGTCATAAAAAGTTAAAAAAATCATTCTCAAACGAGATTTTTTAAACCCTAAATTAAAGTAGCCAAAAAAATTAACTCACTTTCCAAACAAATCCTAATTATAATTGTAATTTACCCTTTATTTTATGAAATTAAGATTTGTTCAAATAATCCGATTCCTATTTATCTGTCAAAATCCGTGCAGCCCGTCAATTTCAAAATTGTGGTTAATCAGATGCGATGAAATTTGGTCAACCCAAACCATATTCAATCCGGGAGTAATGATACATCTCATTAAAAGTGGTGTTCTAAAGCATCACTAATGAGTTGGTAAACACTTTAATCAAAAAAAATAAATATAAGACACAAACAATAGGTTTCATCCACTGCCACATCATTAATAATGCTTTTAGAACACAAATTTTAATGATCTCAAGCATTATTATTCGATCCGGTGGCAAATAACAATCCAACCCGCAACTTGCAAGTACCCTACCCACATCAATTGGTGGGGGCGGGGATCTCTCATCAACTAGAACGGTCAATAAACAGGGACGTTCGTAAATAGGTTTAAATTTGACTCGGTAAAAGTTTATTTAAATTTGGTTCGTTAATTTTTTTTTACGTCGACGTTGGATTCGTTAAATTTTTAATAAATAAGTCTAAATATTTTAAAATTTAACTTGTTAGTTGGTTCGTTTAATATTTATTATTTATATATTAAATAATATAAAAATATGTATAAAAAATAAGAGAAATATGTTATTTATATATTTAAAAAATATAAATATAAATAATAGTTAATTATAAATAGTACATTTATGTAATAGTGGTAGTAGATATTATTATTTTAAGCCTCTGTTTGGGAAGTGTGTTGACTTTTTGACTTTTTAGCTTTTTGGCTATTTTAGCCTGGGGCTAAAAAGCCTGGTTTGAGAAAGACTTTTTGAATTTTTGGCTTTTTTGACTTTTTTTGTGAGAGAGGAGTGTAATGATTATGAGTTGGATTTGATGTTTTGTTTTTTGTGGCTAAAATAGCCTATTTTATTTTTTTTTGGCTATTTTAGCCCCTAACCCACCAAAACCAACTTCCCAAACTATGTAAAATATGAACTTTTTTTTAATATGTTTATTTATGCCTCCGTTTGGGAAGTGGGTTGGCTTTTTGGCTTTTTGGCTTTTTTGGCTATTTTAGCCTGGGCTTAAAAGCTTGGTTTGGGAAGGACTTTTTGGCTTTTTGGCTTTTTTGAGTTTTTTTGTGAGAGAAGAATGTAATGATTATGGGTTGGATGTGATGTTTTGTTTGTTATGGCTAAAATAGCCTATTTTGTTTTTTCTACTTGCCAAACACAGGCTATATTGTATATATAATCGTATAATCAAAATTTTAGTTGTAACTTTAGTCTCACATGTAAATATGAATTTATAAATTTTTTGGCTCGTTAAGGCTCATGAACATGCTTAAGCTCGAGTCGAGCCTAAGCCAATTGAGCTCAGCCAACTCGGCTCGACCTCGGTTCGTTAAATTTTTATTCAGCTTAAACTCGAACTCGAACTCAAATTCAAGCTCATTAAAATCTTAATAAATAAGTCCAAACATACTAAAACTCGGTTCGACTTGACACGTTTGCCATCCTAACATCAACACCGTGTTTGCTTGGCAATTGAAGAAGAAATTTAAACAGTGAAAAAAATAAGTAAAATATATTGCTATTTCATCTAATTTTACATAATTTTTTCTTCTTTTGTTTTATCAAATCATTCTACAAATCACCAACCAAAACAGCTTAAAATGTGCGCCCCCCTTCCCTTAAATTTTTATTCAGTTCGAACTCAAACTCAAACTCATTCTCATTAAAATCTTAATAAATAAATCTAAACATACTAAAACTCGGTTCGACTCGACACGTTTGCCACCCTAACATCAACACCGTGTTTGCTTCGCAATTGAAGAAGAAATTTAAACAGTGAAAAAAATAAGTAAAATATATTGCTATTTCATCTAATTTTACATAATTTTTTCTTCTTTTGTGCGATCAAATCATTCTACAAATCACCAACCAAAACAGCTTAAAATGTGCGCCCCCCTTCCCTTAAATTTTTATTCAGTTCGAACTCAAACTCAAACTCATTCTCATTAAAATCTTAATAAATAAATCTAAACATACTAAAACTCGGTTCGACTCGACACGTTTGCCACTCAGTGACGCGCAAATACAGACCCATAATATTAATCACAGCTCCAATGGCTTCAACTCCATCATCAGCTACAGAGGCAGAGGCAGAGACCAAACCCTTGTCAGTACTCTTTGTGTGCCTTGGCAACATCTGCAGAAGCCCAGCCGCTGAGGCTGTCTTCACTCACTTAGTCAACAAAAGGGGCCTCGATTCCAACTTCATCATTGATTCTGCCGGTACAATTGGTTACCATGAGGTACCCATTTTCTATACATAATAGCTATAACTATAGATTGTTATTGTTCAATTATGTGTTGTGTGATATGGGTTTGCTTCCAATTGTTGTTGTTGATGTTTGGAAGGGTAATGAAGCAGACCCACGAATGAGGGCTGCTGCTAAAAGGCGTGGAATTCATATAACTTCGATTTCGAGGCCAATTCGACCGGCTGATTTCAGAGATTTCGATCTCATTCTTGCAATGGACAAGAAAAACAGAGGTGAGCTTAGATAAATGAGGTGCATTAGATTATGGGTCTTGTTTAACATTTTGGATTCTCTGTTTTTTGGGTCTTGAATTGGATTGGATTGGATTGATTGTTTGTTCAATTGTTAGTGTTGTGTGTGTGACATTTGTATGAAGAAATTAGGGTTTGGGAAGGTAAATTAGCATAGAGATAAGTTAAGAGGGTTAGAAAGAAGTGGATAGATTGTCCAAAAATATCCCTTCTCTATTAGTGGAAATTAACATAGATGAATGGATGATTTGAATTGATACCAGTTTCAAAAATAAGAGTTTAATTTGGAAAAAATAAAAAATAAAAAATTCTAGGGTTTAATTTGTTGTACAGGTCAAACCTCGTGGTTATTCTTAAACAAAAATGGATTGGATTTTTGTTTTATGGTCTTGAATTGGATTAATTGTATGTTCAATTTTTGTTGTTGTTGGTGTTTTAAAATGTAGATGACATACTTAAAGCTCTGGAGAGGTGGAAGTTGAGAGGGAACTTACCTGCTGATGCGCATAAAAAGGCTAGTAGAAGACGGGTGTTGCAGTGTAGTCCAGTATAGTTTTGATGGTTGGTCTTATGCATATGTTGATAATGCAGGTTCAGTTAATGTGTTCATATTGTAAGAAGCATGATGAAAGTGAAGTTCCTGATCCTTACTATGGCGGACCACAAGGTTTTGAGAAGGTAATACTTTAACAAAAATGGTACATTGGTATGGTCTACGTAGTTTACTTCTGTAAAAGAACATTTCCATCTGGTGCATGCCAAATATTTCACAATTTTTTTATGATGTGAAGGTTTTGTTTGTAATTATATTTAGCACATTGTGTGCTCAACAATTTTAGCATAAAATTAGAAGAATTCATAAAAGCTTAACTTTAAGGTAAGAGACCTTTTTTGGGGAAGGGGAAAGATGGGACACCTTCGGCCGCTCATCCTCAGCCCTTAATTGCTGGCCACTGCATCACCTAACCCTATAAACCATCTTACCAGTAATGATTTCAAATATGAACCCGGAACAAGTGGCACCAGTTTTCTCAAATATAGTGGTTTTAAAATAAAATAAAAAATTTACGTATCGGAAGATGTTGAGCAAAGATCTTAACATTGTTCCCTTGCTGAATTTTTTTTTTTTTGAAGGGTCAAGAAACGTGGCATGAGACTGGCTTTCATCAATGTGTAGAGTACCGTGTCATGAAATTGTAAGGTTGATATGTATCTCACACTTTTGTCGGAGCATAGATTGGTCCTCAAATAAGATTGAATAAGTGTCATTGTTATGGAATTAGAAATTTGTTCATAAACATTTATCATATCATCATTGATGTTAAAGAGTAAATAAAATCATTTAGAAGGGGGGAAAACAGTAGGATACATTGTGGCAATGTATGAATATAAAAATCGAACCATTAATCAGGCAATATTATCTGTGTACACTTAGCCTCTAGAATTTGAAGTACTTTGAGCAAATTTCAAATCAGCCTCATTTATGTTATTCCAGCATTAGATATAGAATTTTTTTTTTTTTTCTTTTCTTTTCATCCAAGTTTCACTTAACATACACTTATACTTCAACAAAACTCAGTCTCCAAGCTTACATCAGCTATAACCACACGAGTAGTATATTACATTAGTCTAAGACCTAAACGAATGAACTAAACTTAGTATTTTATGATTTTCGGTTTAAAACTGTTAAAAACAAGGTTGTGGGGTAAAAACTGAGATCCCCACTCAAAGCCAGCCTGAAAGGTGCTCAAGCTCGACTCTATGCAGGTTGCTTGAGCAGGTGGCCTCTTGTGTGCTCTATAAAATATTACTTGTTCTTCAGAGTTATCCATCTTAATCCACTTTCCCATGTGCTATTACCTATTTGATGATGCCATTTGTCTCTCTACTGCATTCATTTCTGATCTATCCTTTCAGTAATAGTCAAATTTTAGGCATAAACATATTTTCTTAACAGCCTGACATTTTGGGCACCAAAAGGATTAATTCCTCCCTTGTTTTGATGTGAAATTTCTCAATTGCTAGATTTAGTAACCATGCTTGATAACCTTAGAAGAGTCCTACCATGATTCAGAGTGATCTATACGGATACTTACAAATATGTGATTTTAATGTTAAGATTTTAGAGTTGGCTCTATTGACTTGGACATTTTGGGCACAAAACGGCTAAATTCTTCCCTTGTTTTCTTGTGAAATTTCTCAATTGCTTAATTTAGCTGCTATACTTGATAACCTTAGGAGGAGTTCTCTCCCAAGATTCATGAGTGATCAACACAGATCTTTGCAAATTTGTGGTTTTGATATTAAGATCTTAGAGTCGGCTCTATTGACTTCAAATTTTGATTTCTGCCACGTCATTTTCTATCCATTCAAAATGCAGAACACAAAAAATTATTTTTTGATGATACTCATCCCCATAAATCTCATCTCATGGCAGGTTCTCGATTTACTTGAAGATGCTTGTGAATCACTATTGGACAGCATTTTGGCAGAGAACAGTAACATTTCAGATTCTCAGAGCCTCGGTGGAAGCTGCTGATGGATTCAATTTTCAGGCTCCTGTTTCTGGAATGAATATTCATTACTGTGCTAATGCATGGAATGTGTCATCTGCTTCTTGGAACTTTAGGATGAATGGCCCAAGACTGTATCATATGATCTGTGTAAAAATAACCGAATTTGGTCCAAGATTTGAGTCATCATGGAACTTTCAAAACTTAGGCTTTCATTGAATCAAAATGCTTGTGTGGTCGAGGACAGAAGCATCCTACTAAATTCTCTCATTGTACTTGTTGAACCTAAGTTAGCCATCATGTCAAGAATCATTTTGGGGTTTTTTCAAACCTTGGTGAATAATGATCTACAAGTTTATTGACTTGGCTAAGTAAAATAGGTATTTAAGGTACCTCTACCAAGGTGTCATTGAAACACCTAAGATTATCTTCACTGGTCTGCTAAACCATAAACAAGGTACCATTTCCAAAATATAGACACGCTTATTAACAAAATTGGTCTCCAACAGTTTCTTGTACAGTCGCCAAACTATAACATTTTCAAGTCTTGTGCTAAATTTGGTACAATATTTGATAATTCTCAAATCTCGGTACTATGATCCGAATACATAGTATTCGTTATTCGATTGACGTGATTTTTTACAGAGATAATATTCTTAACAATTCTTAAAATGTGAACGGTTTGAATTATTAAAAAAGAATTCAAAAGTAAACTTAATGGGCCGGACTAGACCCTCTAAAGTTCGGATGGTGAACTGGAGGCAAGCCACTGCCATTGTGAAAATATGATACTCTCTCTACTTGTCTCATGATGTGATCTCACAAATATCATTGAGGAAATTACAGCTCAGTGAGCTTTTGGAAAAATATTCACAAATACATAAAAAAATATAAAATTTTAATTATTAATATTTATAAAGTTTACCACTGTAAATTATATATATATATATATAATTTTACACCGAATTTCTATGTCCCTAATATCATTTCTATTTGGCATTATATGAGAAAAGTACTAGAAATGACAATTTGCAACAAAATGCTCTAAAGCTGTATATCAAATTATGTGGTCCAGTGACTACCATAGAGAATAGGCAAATGGAGTTGAAATGTCAATTCTATTGTTCACTAACAGAATCAAAATAGCACAACCAAATTCATAATTTTGTTATGGATTTAGACAAAAAAAATCATAGCTGCCCAGAGTTTAAGATCCAAAAGAAAAACCTCTAACTTCCTCTCGTAGTCACTATTGGTAGTTCATGTCATTGGCTCTAGATACAAAAAAATCTAAACTGATCTGCAATTTCTAATTTCATTCAGTGGTTGTATACATTTCCCGATCAAAATTCACCATTCAACTTGTGCTTTGCGAGGCTCACAAAGGGAGGAAGAACATTACATAGAAAGAAGTTTAAAATGTAGGTGTTTTTAAAATCTAAACTTCACTGGAATTAAAAGCAAATACAGAACTCATTACCCTCCACCACATAAACCAGAAAAGAAACAGAGTTGAGGCCTTCAACGTATTCCCATATCCTTGAGTAAGTTGAATTGTACATCGCAGCTGAATCCAAACCCATAAAATTTATAGGTCTCTTTCTTGTGAATGTGTTGTTCATTGAGTCTTCCAAAATAGGCTTAGCAAATATATCCCGTACAAACAAGAACCAAATCTTCATATTGAAATTCACCACCTACCTCTTCCTCTGCTTCTTCCATGACTCCCTCCTCTTCCTCTGCCTCTGCCTCTTCCACGACTCCCTCCTCTTCCTCGGCCTCCAAAACCTGATGATCTATCAGGCTTTAGCCCTAATGATTGCACTCCTCTCCTCTTTGGGTGTGGTTCTTCCTTGTCCTCCTCATCTTCCTTGTACTTCGCTGAGCTTCTAGAAACGAAGGAAATCTCTCTCGATCCTCCTGGTCCCACTTTAACATCATTTGAATTACGTGAATACCGTTGCTTGTTTGCCAGAGCAGCTACCCTTTCACCCAATGGAAGAGAGTCCTCCTTTGCAAGTGAGACACGGTTCCAGAATGCTTCTGCATGTCGCTCATCCTTTACTTCATACAATCTGCAGGTTTTATTAAAAAAAATTATATATTTAGAGGTTTTAGAACATCACTTTCATGAGATTCCTCATTTAACCAACAACCACTTCTCGATTTACTTGAAGATGCTTGTGAATCACTCCCCCCAAAAAAAAAAAAATGCAAACAGATGTAGGATCATAGGTTTAACATAAAATCCAAATGGTTGTAAACGTATGATGGATCTGGCTCATAGTATGTTAACTCTACATAAACCAGCTATGAACATTCACCTTGGAACTTGTGATTTGCTTTTTGATTTTCTTTTGTTGTTGGTGCGATCATCTTCTGATGACGAGGATGCTGGTGATGCATCAAAATCGCTTAAATCCTGTTCATCATCTTCCATAACAGGCTCAAAATGTTCCTCAACCAAAGATGGTTGCTTCTTGGATGCCATAGGATGCAAAGCGAGATACTCTTGTGAAAATTCATCAACTTCAAAGTCCTGGATACAACCACCCAAAAGGACCAAAGTAAAATATCATGTGATATAACACTAAGGTTTTCTATGTATTCATATAATTACAAACACCTACATACAATAGTTATCATTCATTTCGAGGTTCTTCGCATTTACAGTTTTATTTATGTTCTTGATACTAGAAATGCTGGTGAAATGGTCACTAAGAAAGTGGTGGACAATAAAAATAAAAAATACATGTCACCTCTTTGAAACAATTATTAGCATTGTCAAATGATCCAAGCGACCAATTTGCCATACCTTATTTTCAAAAATTGCTGCAAAACGTTCATCTTTAAGGTCATCACTTCTGAGTCCTTTCTTTTTCTTGGATGTTTTCTTAGCAACAGCGTCATCTTCATCCTTCTTTTCATTTTCAGCTTCTTCATTTTCAAGAAGACGAGCTGCAAGTACCCGGTTAACTTTAGGCAGTTTCCTCTTTATCTGCAAGAGAAACCAAGGAATTAAAATATAAAATATAAAGAATAAAAAAATTCAGATCTTTTGTATATGAATTATGACATTAGTCATATAACATAAAAGGAAACTGATAAATACATGAATCTCCCTCTATCCCTTACCCTTTTATTGGCCAGAGTTGCACACTAGACAGAAATATCACTCTTTAAATTTGTGGTTAAGGTACACAAATACTATGGAAATTAGGAAAGACAAATAGTAAGAAATGGAACTTCAATCCACTGTTCAGTTGATGAGAAGCATAGGGACAGAAAATGTGTTTGAATTCAATTTTCTGAAAATTGAGTGTTTTTTTTCTCATGTTTTTTTTTTTTTTTAGTGAATATTTTTAAAATTTTAAGCATTTTTTTTTACTTTTTTAGATGCACCTTACTTAGATGTATCTAAAAAGTAAAATATTTGTAAAAAAATATTTTAAAAAATCAACAAATACACAAGAATATAAAAAATATACTGAATTTTCGGTTTTTTTTTTTTTTTGTATTTTTGGTATTTAGTGAATTTTTTAAAGATTTTTTTTCACAAATATTATACTTTTTAAGTGTAATTATGTTAGGTGTATCTAAAAATTAAAAAAATTGCTTAAAATATTTAAAAAATTCAGTGAAAACAAAAAAGCAAGGGAAACAAAAAGTTTCAATTTTCTAAAAAGTGAATTCAGAAAACTCAAACCAAATAAAAAAAGAAAATTGGAACCTCGAATATTTGTACCTATGCCGCCATTGCCAACATAATAATATCTCATTTTCATATGATTTCCTGTGCTTTTTTTTTGTGTGTGTGGCTTTTCTCGAACCAAATAGAACACCGAAAAGCATAAATTTGAACTGCTGATCCCAGGGTTAATATTTCTTTTGTCGTCATTAATATCGTCTACCAATTTAGTTACTTCTTGTTACAAAAGAAGACCCCTCTTCTCATATAGTTGCACATAGCCCATATCTAACCTTAGCTTATACTTGATGAAGTACAAAAAGGAATTTATCTTTACTCAACACACGATCATATCCTCATGTTAAAATCCACCTACTACACACCTACCACTACCACCTACTACACACTCACCTACTTCACCTACTCTCCACCTACTCCTCACCTACTACACACTCACCCTCTTCTATATATAGGAATCATGAATCATTGTAATAATATCAATACATCAATCAATAATACATCAATTTTAACACCTCAGTTGACAGAGATTGCAAAATAAAAATAAAAACAAAATTAAATCGGAAACTTTCTAGCCATGGATGAAGCTTGACACTGCAAAACTAAAGGCACCTCTGAATATCCCTCAAATTTATACCCTCATAGTAAGCAGACAGGTATCCTCAAATTAGCTCAAGTACAACTTTCAAGTATTCAAATCGATAGTATACAGCCTTTCAGCAAGGTATTTAGAACAAAAAGTGTGTTCAAACGCAGATAAAACTACTGATTTACCCAACAGGTTTCCTTTTCAATGAGTTTCCCTTTATATTATTGAGTTTCAAAGTTATTCATTAGAATGACAATCTGCACTATGAATGAGATTCTCCAGTCTATGCAAAAAGCAACTTATTTTATGTTCACCCAGAATTATATAATGGTTGAATTGAGTAATGGTGTTTCACAATTAGCTTTTAGGAAAATTGTACATTATATGCATATATATATTAAATAAAAGATATGCATAATATTTTGAGGTGACGCACTGATAGAAAAATGATATTCAAACATCAATGGTGCCACTGAGATCTACCACATTACTCTGATATGTTATGAGTTCTGGTTTCTTAAAAGTGAGTTTTTTCCCACATATATATATATATATATATTTGTACATGAAATGAAAAATATTCTCAGGCTATATCGAGATAATCTTAATGTAAGAGCATGAACACTTTATTCCTGACATCTTTCTTATCATTCAATGTGGTCTATAACTTTTTCAACAATCAAATTATGTATTCATACTGCAAATCAATTTGTGTGGGCCAACAAGAAGTCAAGTCCCATCATCAGCAGAAAGAGTTACATGAACACAATATGAATTACTTCAGAAGCTAGCAAGAATAGACTCTTAAACATGAACCAAATTCTATCCAATATTTTTTGAGTTCAGTTGGAGAGCAAACTCTTTTACTTTTCTGGTGTGTCTGCGTTTTGGTACTGGTGTCACTATAACCAAAGAAGACCCTTTTTTTTTGTTTTTTTTTGGTTGGGGGGGGGGGGGGGGGGGGGCACTTACTTGTTCATCTTCTCGGATCTCTAGCCGTGTTTATTTTTTCTAGCAGTGTCTTTCTTTGCTTTTGTTCTCAAATACTGATTGTGTACATCTTTTCTTAATGAAATGAAATGTTCTTAACAAAAAGGGAGAATCATCAGATAAATGTGAAATTGATAAACTAATTGCAAATCAATGGAGTGAAAGTGAAACACGTGCCTCGGTGTAAGTGAGGGGCCCAGAGGCACAATTCTCACTTGCACTAAATTGATTTGCAATTAGTTCCCCCATTTCCCATTTGTCTAACGCTCTGCCCAAAAAGAGGCTAAGCCAAAGTGATGAAGTAGCTATGGTCAAAATCAATAAGATATGAATTATGTAATTTCTTGTATTTCTTAAGTTCCTGGTTCCTTAACCCAACCCAACCCAACCCCCAACACGTGCACAAATACAAGGTAGAAACAAATAAAGCAAAACAAAACAAAAAGGAAAGAAAAAATGAATGAGGAAAGGAAAAACTACTACTGATACAAAACTAACCGTAATTCGAGAGGCGCGTCCAGCCTCCAGTTTCTCTTGTTTCCGCTGTTCTATATAAGCATCATAGGCAAATGGATCTGCCAGTGCTTGTGCCTGCAGAAGTAAACCAAAAGACAATTATTGATAAACAAATTTGCCATTGCACTACTCCAGAAAGTTTTAATGGAATACCGTTGACATGTTAAAACACCCACATTCCCAAAATTACATTGTTAGGCCCTTCAGACCTTCCTGCCATTTGTCTACAGAATGTCATGCATGAAAATCATAAAACCTTAATGGAACTAATAATTAGGTAGTTAGCTATGAAGCCTATGATAGAAGGCCTATTCAAACCAACACCATATTATTAGATAATTCATTCTTTGATTCCTCGAGACTGAAAAGTTCTGACCTTATTTTTTGTGCTTCTCAAAATAGATCAACTAACATATTTAAACTAGAAAGATTTCTGAATAACATAAAAGTATCTGAAGTTTAGAAAAAAGAGTGAAGTTCCATAGAAGGGCTACAAAGTCAGCCTTGATATTTCTCTAAAATGCAGCATTAGTTCCCATATTAAAACCAAACATAGAACGAGGATCATCACCTTTTTATACAATCGGTAATCAATAAAGAAGCCATGCATGTAGGCTCTTAGAAGATTGGTGCCAATCAAATTTGTCAAATTCAACTTTTCAAGGTCTTCTTTTGTCAAAAATTTAAAATCATCATAAATAGTTGTTTGTGCACCCTCCTCCATCTCTTCCTACAGAAAAAAACAGAAGGTAACATTACCACCAGTAATAAAGATCCAACAGGACATATAAGTCAAAGAAAGTCAATTAGAATCATCCAATAATCACACCGTCAAGTTTTCCAAGTAAGAACACCACTTTGGCGCAGGTCCAAGGGCTGGTATGAAGTAAGATGGTATCTGGCTGCAGTCCAGAGCCAACAACATCAACCCACTTCCATTAAAGACACAAATATCATTTATTTTTCCAGCTGTTGGCTCAATGCTGGTCATGCCTTCTCCCTGAAAATATTAGAGAACTCAATAAAACCCTCAAAAATAAATCGTCTCAGGTAGGAATAAACTATAATTTACAATCAAGAATATCCATCAGATTAGGATAACCTAGAGTTGCAATAAATAAAATGAATATGGTTGCAATCCTTAGAAGTGTTGGTTTTTTTCCTCCTTTTCAATAGCCCACTTCATCACTTCAATTTCAAAAGATTGAAGATAATTTCATGACATTACACATGACCAAAACAAACTGTCTGACACGACCATACAGTGTCTCCTATCATTTTTTTTATGTATTTTCTTGTTTTGTTCCTCTCTTCAAACTCAAGTTGGTTAGTTTCTATCCTCCTTGAGTTTGCGGGGGCTGTTAGAATTTACCATAAACCTACCACCACTACCACCTCACCTACTCCACTAAACCTAACCCACTGCACCACTACCACCTCCACTTCACCTACTCTCCACCTACTCCCAAACACACTCCTATATAATAGGAATCCTTGTAATTGTAATTATCACAACACATTAATATCAATCAATAATACATATATTTTCACACAAACAATCAGAATAAAGAAACAGAGAATCTCAGATCCATAAACTAAAACAGGATTACCAAATTGCTCTCACTACTCGCATTTGAAAGAAGTTGGAAGTATTCCTTACCGTCTCAGGGTCCCAAATCCTGACAATATGATCATCAGTAGTAATTAACTTTGGTTGCTCAGAGTTAAGAGTTCGATGCCACTTAATATTTAAAATTGGGCTGCCATACCTATAAAACATTGGTAAGTTGCAAGAAGCAGCATGTTAGGAGCAAAGAGAAATGTTGGCCATTCAATGGGTACGAAATTAGGAACAGCTAGAGACAATAACCAGCCTTAGAGGTAACTCACATGTGATCCTTCACGCGCATTGGATGTGAAGAACGCAAGTCATAAATCAGTACCTGCATATTAAATAGCAAGAATGAATACATGGTTTCATACTAGAGATGATTAGTGGAGAAAAAATGTCAGACACAAAAACAATAAAATTATTAATAAAGAGGAAAACCACAATAAAAACTGATATATGTTTATAGAACAAAGGATTAGTTCTATGCCAGATGACAATGCAAATTTGAAAATTTTATTTTATTAGTGCTAATTTTGAGAAATTTCTACCAGATGCTCTCCACAGAGGAGAACAGAAGATAATGATCTTGAACCTTCTCTAAGCCAATATTGCAACTGCCCCAGACTTGAGTACGCATGTCCTATGATCCCAACCCACCTTTCATCACCAATTTGAGTAATATCTTCCAAAGCAACATTATATAAGGGTCCTCAAAACTCCCCAGATATTCAAAAATGGTTAAATCTCCCATAAAAAACTTCATTTATCTATGATGGAGACACCTGCTCTGGCTCCTCTCCGGTGAAAACACCAACATATGTTTTCTGCTAATTTTTTGACTTCCTAAATGCTGATCTGAACCTCAATTTTTCAATTTTTACAATGTTATGTCCCAAGATGTCTTGTCTTTATGCACTTACGATTTCCTATCTCCTTAAAAAATATAAGCCCTACACAACCCTTTTAGGAAAGGGAACTACAGTTGGCATATCATTTCTTGTTGGCCTCACAGAAAATAGACAGACAAATCAATCAGGCGACTTAAACAACTCCAAATCACAGAAGAAACTCAATACCATCAGGTAACTATGTTCCCTGATTACATTACATTGCATGCATACAAATAAACATGCACTTGTACCCACATTCACTATCACAGGGACACGGGTATGCATATGGTGCTGAGGTGGATTCAATTCGTTGAATCCCTATATGTCACAAAATGGCAACACATCCAAAAATTATCACCATGGTCAGGTCCTATGAAGCACGGGTACGGGTACGGGTACGGGTACGGGTACGGGTACGATACGGGTATGTCGATACGGTAAAATCCAAAAAAAAATAGGGTACGGGTACGGGTACGGCTTGGGCTTGGTATGCTTGTAAAAAATATTTATTTTTAATTTATAGTAATACAAAAATTAATTAAATAATTTAATTTGTTAAGATTCAACTTACAATTAACATTTAATGCCAAAAGTAAATGTATAAATCAAAATTAAATGTCAATATATTTTACAAACCATAGTTTAATTTTAAAAACATGCCAACTATAAAACTAAAAATAAAAAAGAAATCTAGTAAAAGGAGTTTTATCTCTATAATAGAAGAAAATATTGTTTCAATTGAGATACGGTATGGCTTGGGTATATAGTAGGTACGTCTGGGTACGTCAAAAATTAAGAAGAAAAAATTTGAGTATATGTTTCGTGTACCCGGTATGTATGTAGAAGTACCATACGAGGTACCATATGCCGGTAAGTACCCAGTACGGATACGGTATGTTTTTTGAAGTACCCATGCTTGATAGGTCAAGTCCATTCATCATTGGTTTAAGGTATCATCTATGTTACATTACATGGACTCTTCTAGTTCCCCCAAAGTACTTATGTCCATCCAATATGACAAGGGTGTGGAATATCTGTCCTAAACCCATACGCAATTTAGACACTTGGATCCTCCAACCTTGTACAATATTTGAAGAATAAGAAACTCACATTTGCTAGAAAATGAACATTTATAACCTCTTTCATAGATGAGAGACAAAAAATTCCACATTTTTTCTATATCTTATTTAATCTCAAGTACATTTTTACATAATTTACATCATCTCATCTAAGAATATTACATAATATTTAATATGTGTGTGTGTCCATAACCAGTTCACATACCCATATCCTAATTTGGATAATATCCGAACATCCTAAGATTTAAGTTTATGAAGGTCTAACACTTAGAGACGCACCTATACCTGATACTCATACCCGATTCCACGTCACATGGGGTATCATGAAGTTTCTAAGCAATGGATTCGAAGGCATGAATATCTACACTTATGAAAAATAAATATAACGGGAGGTAAAATCTTAGAAGATATTCAATAAAAGTGAACTGTCAAATAAGGCTGTATTCCATAATGGAAAGTGCCCTCTCACTCCCCATGTCTATCTATATAACATCATCATGCAACAAGGGTAAAAGGCCATCCTTCAGTGCTATCACTAATGGAGGCTACTAGGAACGATACTATGCATACATACCTAACCTTAACTATTAGCAGGAGGTGACTGACTACTGCCCTCAAGCTTCAACCATTGCACCAGGCAGAGCACATTGCCAACAAGGGTACACAAATATTTGAAGTATCCCTACATCACTATCATGAAACCGAAATACATATATATATATATTTCAATTTTTACAGAATTTATAAAATGCAATTTCCAGAATTACTATCAAATACTAAACACTCATTTCCATTGCAACATTATTTCATATGTTATTATTGCAGACAAACTTTCACAACTGTTATTCTCCCACATGCAGTCCTCCATTCACCAGCTATTTCCTTCCTAAACTTTTATACAGTTAGCTGCCATTTACAATTTTAAATTCCCAAAAAACTGATTATATTATATAACTTTTTACCAGCAGTTCTAGAAATAGCAGTACTATATGGGCAATGATGGCATTATTAGTAAAAAATTAACAATAGTATAACAGAAACGCCATATCACATCTTTCCTTTGAAACTTCCCAGTTCTCACATGAATGGAATGTAAAATATGACCTAATACCTTTCCATTTCAATATTTCAGTAGCATAATCATGGTTCATTATGTGAATTCAGAATTTTATAATTCTACATCCACAGATGTTCCTGTTCATTTGTGTAATCAGAATTCTTCTGCACAATTTTTCCTGTTGCTCTACTAGATTTACTGTTAGATTCCACACTCCTTTTCCATCACTTCTAGAGCAACAAGGTTTCCTTGCTTTATATCTGTTACATAAGAAGAAAAGCAACTCCGTGCTCTCTATTACAGATTCTAGTGGAAGAACAGTTTAGTCACATTCAATTCACCCAGTCAGAGAATTTAATCAGTATAGCACTCAAAATCCAGAGAAGAAAAGCAACTCCGTGCCCTCTATTACAGATTCTAGTGGAAGAACAGTTTAGTCACATTCAATTCACCCAGTCAGAGAGTTTACTCAGTATAGCACTCAAAATACCCCCCCTCCCCCCGGCGTTGTGATAAGATTGATAAGTTTAAAGTTATGTAGCAAATATTGTTAGGATAATACAGAGAATATGATATAATTACAATCCATTGCCAAATGATGATTTAATCATACCTTTCCAGCACTACTTCCAACAGCCATGAAATAGCCTCCTTCTCCATCAAACTCTATTGCAGTAACCTCCTACGAATCCATAGATATTGTTAGAGCATACTCTTAGTCACGGAAATTCACTATTGCAATTGAAACCTAAAGCTTCCTCCTCCTCCACATGGTGGAAGATGATTTGAAAAAGAAAAAAAAAAAAGAGAGAACTCCAGCTTCCTTTCATTGTTTTTTCAAAATTAATGAGGATGAAGATAAGATTAGGACCCGCCAGAGGAAATTTAAATAAATGAACACTGATATCATAGTAACACCATCAATACAACTTCAGCTTAAAGAACATGCCATCCGTACAAGTACCCAGCAAGTGGTCAATAACATAGCATTCTTGAAAATATAAGCAACAAATTCAACTTCATCTTCATCAAATTTGACCCTCAGGCATCTTGTATTTATGAAAACAATTTCACATGACAATGTATTGCCCCATTTCCACAGATATCACTGAAATTTTTGTATGAATGCTACCTGGTCAATATCACCAGCAGGCGCAACAGCATTTATCCTACCAACTGAAGATCTCAGTCTCATGTCAAAGCATTCCACAGCACCGTCATCGCCACCACAAGCAACTAAACCGTGAACCTTGCTGAATTAGAAAATAAGACTGTCTCAAAACTCGATAAGTGAAGGGAATCCCCAAAGCAAACAAACATATGATGACTTCGCACTACAGAAGGCATAAGTTATACCAACCTTCGAGTGACTACATTTAGGGCTGGGGACTGTGTGTTAAGTGATGTGAGGAAACGTCCCTGTGAAATAAAATTTCAATTTTTTTAATCCTGAACATATAGTAGCTAATAAATCTGATTTAGAAATCAAATGGATTCAAAACGTTCCTACAACATACAAATATCAATGGAAAAAATATTAAGCATTCCAAAATTGAATCTTATGTAACGATAGAAGGTGAGGCCATATCTGTGGTAAATACAGTTTATAAGAATACAAATATGCCATTGTAACTCACTAGGTAATTGAAAAAGAAGCAGATACATGACATGAGCACTAGCATCTAATACAATGGCCTCAAAGAAATTGAATTGTCATTTAATCAAAACTACATCAACATGCATTAGCACATTGGACACCATCAAGGAAAGTGGAAAGGGGTGGAAAATGCTAAAATTGCTTTCCTTCATCACACAAAGGTCAATCTAAGTTCACAAGGTCTCCATTGGAAAGGTGAACTGTAGATGCATAACCGTGGATACTTTTGACAACTTCCTATCCGCTAAATACAGTTGATCTGGTTTAGCATGAAAACATGGTCTCTCAAATTGTGATATGTCCAGTAAAGTTCAGATGTTCCAGTTGCACATTTTATATTCTAGGAACCAAACGAGAGTGTCTCAGAAAATTTGTTTTCCTAGAAGATGCCAGATATAGATGAAAAGAATTATACTAACAAACATTAGACCGCTATAATGATGAAAGAGGCCATGGAATTATACTAACAAATATTAATGATAAAAGAGTTCAACCAAAAACCTGTTCCAAATTTATTCTGTATAGATCTGGAGAAGAGGCAGCACAAAACAAGTCACAAGACCAGGAATCATATGCAATATCCCTTCCCATCCTGTTAAAAAAGTGACACATACACAGGTTAAGTTGACACCCATACAAAAAATGAAAATAAGTTACAGGTAGAAAAGCAGAATGCATCCATTCCAGACACCGGATTACATCATAACAGATGATCATTCTATGATATTTTAGTAAATGTAACCTGAAGAATTCAGCCATGTAACTTCTTTTTTTTGGTACAATACAGACAGTTCATAATTTCAATAAATAGGGATAGTAGAAACCAAGGTTGTTCAAATCCGGATCCTAGGTAGGATCATTAGAAGGGACTTGTGATTGGATCGAAGATCGTAAGATTCTACTTTTAATGTAAAATAAAATGACAAAATATCTATAATGATAATGTATGTTAAATAATTGTAAGGAATGAGGGTGGCATTGGAAAAGGGAATTCTCTCTCTAAAAATGACCGTTACTGAGGCTCTGAAGGAGGGCAATCGGAAAAACGACCATGGGTGCTCGACGAAAGAGAAAGACCACCTAATCCGAAGCATTAAGAAGATCAAGGGCAATACTGATCCTGATGATGCGATCATGGGTGAAGATGTCTCCATGGGGAACCCATCAGGGGAGATGTTACCCAACCCTAACCCATCGATTGAAGCTACGAATCAGGTGATCTCCCCTCTTCACGAAAGGTAACTAGATGCTAAACAGATGGAGACTACTGGGGATTTACAAGCCCCAAAGTCTTTCAAGCAAGCACTACTGAGATCGCGGTTCAATGAGAATGGTAATGAAAAGAACTTTGATAACGATGTGGAGGTGCTTTCATCTGATGATGAAGATGCTGCCACGCCGAAGGCATCTGAGAAAGAAGACGAGGAAATGCAGGAGGAGAGGGATGGGATCCCTAGAGTTAGGCTACCAGCAGTCCTATTAAAGAAGATAAGGGAGCCATGGAAGAAATGTCTGATTGTGAGACTATTGGGGAAAACCATAGGCTACAAGCTGTTCATGACAAAAATGACTAAGATTTGGGGCCTCCAAGCAGATTTCGAGGCTCTAGATATAGGTAATGGCTTCTTCATAGTCAAGTTCGACCTAATGGATGATTATACTAAGGTATTTACTGGAGGCCCATGGATCGTGATGGACCACTATGTGACTGTGCGAAAATGGCAACATGACTTCAAGGCTAATGAAGCCGAAGAGGATACCACAGCGATATGGGTGAGATTCCCTACTCTACCCATTGAGTATTACAATGAGAAAGCCCTCTTCCACATCACTAAAGTGCTAGGAGTCCCTCTGAAGATAGATATCAACACAGCGATGACTGCAAGAGGAAAATACGCTCGAGTCTGTGTGGAAATGGACCTCTGACAGCCATTGATATCCCACATTGCTATAGGTAAGTATACTTATGGGGTTGAGTATGAACATTTGCACTCATTTTGCTTTTCTTGTGGTAGGGTTGGGCACCGGAAGGAGGTCTGCAGTGAGAGAATGGTGCTGGAAGTCAAGGCACAGGGGCAAGAGATGACTGGAGAAGGAAGTCAAGTTCAACAAGCCCAAACAAAGGATGCAACCAGAACTACCTTAGTGGACAACCAATGTGAGGCTACCCAAGAAAGATATGGGCCATGGATGACTATATCCAAACCCAAAAGGCAACCAAGAGGCCCAGCAACTCAAAAGAAGACCAATACGCCCAAGCACAACAGGTTTGAGGTCCTTACTGAAGAAGGTGAAATAGCCACAAGCCATATAGCCCAAACAGGTAAAGGAAAAAGTTCAAATGGAAAGGCTCATTCAGAGGCAGGATTCAAATACCACACAAGACCCTATGAAAGGAAAAATGACACTAGCTCAAATTTGGCTAAGGAAATGATCAGACTGGGGAAGCAAAGTGCTACTGACATGGAGATTCAGTATCCAGGGATAGTGCTTGGGTTAGGTAAGAACTCACCCTGTAGTAATATCATTGATCAGACAACCCTGAACCAAGTCACCCAGAAACCACTCACCAATACCCAAATCAACACCAGTCACCCTATTAGCTCTACCTCCATATCACCAGACACCCACAACAGAGTTGGCTTTAGTAAACCCAGATTCAGAGAACCACCAGATAAACATGGAGGAGGAAGGGGAGAACTATCCAACGGAACACCACAAGTTGACCCAGCAGAGAGTATTAGTGTGTCTTACACCAGGGAAAGAAGCATTTCACCTCATCACCTCAGAATGGTGGAACGAAGAAGTAAAGCTGAGGATTCAAGCATGGAGACAAGTAGATGCAAGCCAGGAACGACACTACATCTCAATGAATTCATTGAAATCAATGATAGAGAACCACCAAGCAATGAAGGGCTATCTGAGGATTGATTCCCAGAGTCCTCTACCTAACCAAGAAATACCTTCCATGGATTTACTGATCTAGAATTGCAGAGGACCAGGGAATAAGAAATTTAAACGAACATTGAGAGAGCTAGTTCAAATCCATAAACCAGAACTAGTAGTTCTTGGGGAACCCAAAGTGGAGTTTAAAGACATGGGCATGTTCTTCAACTGCATGGGCTTCATGGCATCAGCACATGTAAACCCTATTGGCCGAAGTGGGGGCATTTGGATGGTTTGGAACCCTAATGTGGTGAATGTCAAAGTCGCGGAGGCTTGCTCTCAACAAATCACAGCAACTATCTCTAGACAAGATTTCCAAGACTGGGTTTTATCAGCAGTATACGCCAGTCCGAATGCCAACATGAGAGATGAGTTATGGGAGCAGCTACAGGTTCTAGCTCAGCCCATGGAGAAACCTTGGTTAGTTGCTGGGGATTTTAATGACTTCACCTCCCTAAATGAGAAATGAAGCTTTCAAGGAAATAATTCTTAGAGCATGAGTCAAGACCAAAGAAGGAGCAGAAAATTCAATGACAGTCTTAACAATTGTAAACTGATGGACTTAGGTTGTGCAGGCTGAGGTTGACATGGTCTAATAATCAGAAAGGATGGGCCAACACTATGGTTAGACTGGACAGAGCCATGTGCAACACTGAGTGGCGAACTTCATTCTCGGATGGAGCAGTCAGAAACCTACCTCGAACTTATTCCGACCACTCCCCAATGATGGTGTTCACTCAAGGTAAGTCTCATTTTAACCCTTCTAGTAGGCCCTTTAAATTTATGGCTGCGTGGATTACTCATGAGGACTTTAAGTCTATGGTTGAGAATAGTTGGGCTATTCCCTCACCTTCCCTAAGTAACAGTCTTGAGATTCTTTCTCAAGAAGCCAGTATTTGGAATAAAAAGGTTTTTGGAAACATCTTTAGGAGGAAGAGATGGCTCCTTGGGAGGATTGAGGGAATCCAAATAGCTCAGGCATCTAACTATTCCCATAACCTTCACCAATTGGAACTTGATCTTGTTGAACAATATAACCTTGTTTTGTATCAAGACGAGCTTCTATGGTTCCGAAAAGCTAGAGCCAAGTGGATTACACAGGGTGAAAGAAATACAAAATTTTTTCACCTCACTACCCTGGCTAAAAGAAGGAGGAGGAAGATTGAGATCCACAAGGATGCTAATGGGGTGTGGGTGGACCAACCTGACCAACTCAAAACTTTGATCACCAACTACTTTGAGAATCTCTTTAGCCATACTTCTTTTGACTATCTCACATCCAGTTGGAATAACCTGGTTAGGTGCCAACTGACTCGGGAGGATAATTCTGCTCTTACCCATGACATTTCTGATGAGGAAGTGTGGAGAGCTGTCAAGAATATAAGTGCCTTCAAAGCACCTGGGAGGGATGGGTTCCAGGCTGTTTTTTACCACACTTATTGGTACATTATTGGTGCTTCTGTGTGTGATTTTGTGAGATAGTGTTTTCTGACTAACCAAATCCCTAGAGAAGTGAACAAAGCTCTTATTGCTTTGATTCCTAAAATCGATAACCCTGAGAGTGTGAAACAATTTAGACCTATCAGTTTTTGCAATGTGTCCTATAAGATTATTTCTAAAATCATTGTTAATAGGCTAAGGCCCCTCTTAAATAAGATTATTCGTCCTAACCAGAGTAGTTTCATCCCTGGTAGGAATACCAGTGATAATGTTATTATTACTCAAGAAATCATTCACTCTTTGAATAATAAGAAAGGTAAGAAGGGCGGCTTTGGTTTTTAAAATTGACATAGAAAAAGCTTATGACAATATTTCTTGGGATTTCTTAAAACAAACCTTGGAGGAATTTAACTTTGATTTAAATCTTATTGAACTTATCATGTGTTGTGTGATCACTGTTAGCACTGCTGTCATCTGGGATGGGGAACCTCTGGAGGAATTCACACCCTCTAGAGAGTTGAGACAAGGTGACCCCTTGTCCCCATATTTGTTTGTGCTCTGTTTAGAAAGACTCTAACATGATTAGTCTTCAAGCTGATAGTAAGGCTTGGAAAGGTGTGGAGACCTCCAGAGGGGGGCCTAAACTTACCCACCTCTTCTTTGCTGATGACTTAATGCTATTTGGCCAAGCTACTACAGCTAATTGTAGTATAATCATGAAAATTATGATGAGTTTTGTGAGCTTTCTGGTTTGAATATCAACTCCCATATATCCAAGCTCTTTGTATCCCCTAACATTGATAGGAGGAATGCCAAAGAGTTCAGTACCTTGTGTGGCATCCCTCTTACCTCTGACTTAGGGAGATACCTGGGTGTTCTTGTTATCTATGGCAGAGTTTAACATGAGACATTTTTCTGACATCTTGGAGAGGATGCAAAAAAGATAAAAGTTGGTTGGGTGGAAAGCTAATACTCTATGGCTGGTAGAGCTACTCTCATCAAGTCTGTGGCCTCTACTATCCCTTCTTATTCTATGCAGACAATGCTTTTGCCATCACAGATTTGTAGTGAGATTGATAGGCTCAACAAAAATTTCCTCTGGGGACACACTATGGACAAAAAAACAATACACCTTGTCAAATGGGATGTTGTGTGCAACATGAGGAAATGTGGGGGCCTTGGGATTAAGAAAGCTAGAACTCAGAATCTAGCTCTGCTCTCGAAGCTGGGCTGGAATTTGATTAGCCACAAAGACAGCTTGTGGTGTGAGATTTTGAGGACTAAATACCTCAAAAACAATTCCTTATTTAACTTGGAAAAAGCACGGCATGTTTCTCATGTTTGGAGAGGCATTATAAAAACCAGGAACATTTTAAGGAAATGTGTGAAGTGGAATGTTCGTGATGGTAAAAGTGTGAATGCTTGGAAGGATTGGTGGTGTGGAAACAGTTCTTTTGAGGAAACTGTCTCTGGTACCACTCAAACTAACCATGCTATTGTTAACCATTTTACCAACTTGAGAGAGCTACTAGGGGATGATGGGAATTGGGATGGTAACCTTGTGAGGTGTAACTTTCCCCCACCCCTAGCTGCCCTTATTTTGGGGACTCCACCCCCTGTTAACACTGGGCTGGACTTATCCTTACGGAAGAGGTCCGCTGGTGGAGAGTTTTCTGTTTCATCTGTGTATAGCTTACTGCTGGATTATGAGAACATGGAGGAGGACTGGACATGGGTGCGGAAACTGAGATTACCTCAGAAACTGAAAGGCTTCCTGTGGACTGTTCTGCATGGGAAGCTTCTCACTAATCACATGATGAGACTGAAAAGGGGATTAACCAATAACCCTCAATGCCCTAGGTGTAATGGGGTTGAGGATATTAACCATTTATTTAGAGATTGTTATGTGGCAAAAGAAGTGTGGCTCACTGTTTTTGATAGAAAGTGGTACTTGGATATGCTGAAGAGGACTTGGATGGATTGGCTTAGGAGGAATGCTAAGAGCAAATCCCATTTTTTTGACCAACTCTCTTGGTATTCTATTTTTGTGGTGGCTTTGTGAAAGATTTGGAAAAACAGAAATGGTTTTGTTTTTGAAGGAAAATCTATTAGTCACCAAGAGAGTGCTAAATTCATCGTTGACTACTCTAGAGCAATCCACCAAGCATTCCTCCAACATGTTCCACAACCCAGACCTTCATATAGACTCATTGGGGGTGTTTGGTGCAGCTTTTTTAAGCCAACTTATGGCTTCTGGCTTTTAAAAAGTTATTTTGGACTGTTTGGTTAAACTTATTTCAAACAGCTTCTGATTCTAACAACTTATTTTAAGTCAAAAAAGCTGATTCTGAGAAGCTGCTCACCCCTTGCTTCTGATTATCAGCTTCTGCTGTGGACATGTTAATTCACCGTTATACTCTTAGATTTTTTTATTTTTTATTTTTTTAAAAATAGAAAAAGACTTAAATGGACTATAAAATATTATTATTATTTTTTATGAAAAATGTAGACAAATAGTGAATAATAAAAAATAAAAATTAATTGAAAAAGCTACTTCACAGCTTATTTAACAAACACTACTCAGCAACTTAAATCTATAATTCAACAGCTATACCAAACAGATTAACCGCTTCTGATTAAAGTCATAATCTATAATCTGTTAAGCTATAATCTATAATCTGTTTTAACAGCTACACCAAACACCACCATTAACTGGTGCTTACCTCCTGCAGGAAGATTGAAACTCAACACTGATGGCAGCAAGAAACTCAGTGGAGATGGAGGCTTTGGTGGGCTGATTAGAGATGAACATGGAGCTTGGGTGTGTGGCTACTATGGCTGCTTGCAACGAGGGACAAGCCTAGAAGCTGAGCTTTGGGCTCTGTATAAGGGACTCACAATCATTCTTCAAAAAAGCATGAACAATGTCATCATTGAGACAGACGCGATGCAAGTGGTGCAACTGATGAATGAGGAAATAGGTGACCACTGCCCATTCCCGAATCTAGTTGAGGATGCTAAAATTCTACTCCGAGGCTGTCAATGCACTGTCCAACATGTATGGAAGGAAAGAAATCTTTGTGCTGATGCCCTGGCAAAATTTGGAGCTCAACAACCCGAAGACATGCTGGTGGTGAATGAACCACCAGCTGAAATTCGAAGTCTGCTTGTCGCAGATATGATAGGTTTATCTAGGGAACGGGCCTAGTCCCGATCAGTTTGCTTTATTTTCCAATGTAACCAAAAAATAAATAAATAAATAATTGCAATATCATTGAAGAAAAATGATTAATTTGATATAATGCATCTTTTATTTTATCATAAATTAGAAGAGATATTTGTAGAAAGAATTTATAATCAAATTTCTTATATACATATATACATAAATATATAAGAAATAAATAAAAAGATTTTTTTTTTTAAGGATCGAGATCGTAGTGCGATTCTACACAATTTTATGACTAGGATCGTAGTCACTTCAAGATCCTACTAAATTTAAGATTCTAGTGCGATCCGGATCGTTTAGCCCAACTAGAATCTTAGGATCTTAAGATCCTACGGTCCGAATCAAGATTTTGATAACTATGGTAGAAACAATTGTTACAACAAACAGATGGGAAGATGAGGCAGCATTTCTGATACCCTTACCAACCTTACCCATGTCATTACATGCAATCTAGGAAAGCACGAGAGCCCATGCAACACATTTGTTCAAAACTAGTATAATTACTAAAATAAGACAATCAAAAAGCAAATAAGAATGAAGTCCAGTTCTAAAAGACTCATTTTGGGAGAATTCCTTGTAATCATGTGTAGATATTTTCAAAATCCACGGTAAGGTCAAAAAAGCAAGCCTCAAGAAATGCTAACAACGACAATAAATCAGAGGCAGCTTGTTTATACTATTCAACTCAACACAACAAGCCTTAATCGTAATTACTTGGCATCAGCTACATGAATTCATTTTCTCCAATTGGCTCTGTTAAAATCCATCTCGGATATATTGTTTATAAACAATTAAATACATATTTTTCAAAAAACTAGTATAAAGCAGAAGAGAGCATAAAATCTAAGGTTCAACTGTACCATGTAGATGGTTCAAAAATTCAAGACATTGACGTTATTAAATTGAGCCTGAAAAAGGGCTCACAAAAGCAGCTGCAGTTTCTTGACAAGTAATTCTCAGTAAAATGTGCCAGAAAGCAGAGGTTCAACTTGTATTTATATTGCCAATAAATTATCAAAATATTGGCCATATCTCACATAATACCAACAACAAAGACTGCCACTTCAAGCAATAATGACTCCCATATTTTGTATGCAGACAAACAAATTAAACATATTCATTGGCATAGGAAAAAAGAAAGACCTTGGAATCCGCAAGCTATAGTGACTCCCATATTTTGCATGTAGACAAACAGACCGATCAGCACATAGAAATGCAATCTTTGAGTAGTCATCGGCCAACACCTATTCAAGCAACAATACACTTGATCACCATTGTCTAAACAAGAAAGGAAAACAAACAAGATAAATAAACTACTTTTATCTAGCACCATGACTCGTGAAAGTTTGAAATATATTTTGGACTCAAATATGAAATTGCAACTAAACCTGCAACTAAAAATAACAAAAAGTCTTGCAAAAGTTTCAATCCAAATTGCAAGAAGATGTATCATTTACCATAAAACTCTCTTGGGCAATATAAAATCATTGTTACCAAATTTTATGCGTTTTTTTTACCACAATGCTACATATTTTTTAGAACTACAAAGTCATAAAATACATCTTGCAAAACCATACATCCTCCTAAAATTTTGTTGTGTTGTTGGTCATTGACACATTACACGTGGTCAAGAATAGAATTGTTAAACATGCCACAGGAAAAAAGTACCTGAAAGTTAATTATCTCTGAAATTAGGTGTCTCTCAAACTTCAATGATAGTTCCCTCAACTCGTATACTTTGACTTGTGGTGGGTAAATACCTGAAATCCAAGTGTAAAAAAGCATGATGGATACAAATAGGACAATGAGACAAGTAATGTGAAAACACATCATCTATACAATAGAAATACAAATTTACAGTTTCAGCACCTGAAGCAATAACATACTCCCCATCAGGAGTTGCCTTGATTCTACTTGTTGCTGTTTCAAATCTCAAATCCTGGATCAAATCCACCCTTTGCAGATAGTCTGGCATAATCGGAAAAGCAATTAAGTCATAAAGGGGCAAAATAACACAAAAGGTAAGCAAAACCTAAACTTGGGACCTTGGACGTTGCCTAATGCTGTGTTTGGTTGGGGGATTTAAGAAGGAAAAGAGAAAACGTACGTGAAATTAGGTGAAATATTGATATATTTTATTTACATTTCGCCTGTCTTTTTTCCTTTCGGTTTCCAAATCCATTCCCAAGTCCCCGAACCAAACACAGCGTGAAGGAAGGGTTGACCTTGGTTTACATTTGATAAGCACTTAATTTATTTGGGAAGCAAAACCTAGTGTAACTTAAAAAGAAAAACCAAAAAAATGTTAAAATATAAATGACACACCTGAACAAAATTCATATAAATAGATAATTAATAATTATGCTGCCCATTGATATCTATCAGCCATGGAAATCAAATTCGGACCCTTTCTAATAATATCATACCAAGGCATTCAAAATCCCTAGCACAAGCTTGACAATAATTGTAATTCTAGTGTGCTTATGCTATCTATCCAAATTCTAACAATCACTTTTCTTATTGCCTCCATCAATATATACATAACTGACTAATATTTTTATTACATTTTACATGTGAATTGGTTGTTGCAGAATAAAAAATTTAAAATAATAATAATAATTCACATAGCTACAAGCTTATAAGCAAGGGATACAAATATGGGAAAGAGAAGAGGAGTAAAAAATTGTGGTACCTTCGTCTTTGCGAAGGGCTTTAAGTTTCTTAGGAGCAAGCCAGGTGGCCAAAGAACGGTTTTGGGAAGTGACAGAGTACATCTTGACCCCATTGATGGAGGTCGACTTCAAGTTACCTCCATCGTATGACATCTTTCGATGCTTCCTCAATCACAAAAAATGGTTTTACAGAGAGAAACTTCTAGGCGTGTGTAATAGCATATATATATATATATAGAGAGAGAGAGAGAGTTTATCAGAAACACAGTTAGACTACGGTGGTGTTGGGCGGCAGTGACGGAGGAGCGGTGGTGGTAGCTCGGTGCAGAGAGAGAGGGAGATAGCTTCGGCGGTGGAGGCAGAGAGAGAGAGGAGGAGGAGGGAGGTTAGGTTAGGGCAAATCGCGGGGAAGAAACGGAAAATAATTAATAACAAAAATCTAGGAAATAATAAACGACGTCGTTTTGTGTTAAATTGTTTAACCTTTTTGTTTGCTTTTTTAACTTGATCTTTTTAATGATTTTTTAATTTTTTTATAAGGTGAAAAAATAATATATATATATATATATTTATAAAAAAAAAATACGAAATTTAAATCATTACATATATGACCATAAATCATTTCATAAAATATATTTAAACATAAAAAATAAGTTTGTTTAGAATGATTTTTTAATTAAATGAATAATTATAATAAAAAAATATAATTAACTAATGTATATGATATAATATTTTTATTTTGTGGTTTTTTTTACTTTCTAAATTATAAAAGCTTAAAGCCAAACCAACTTGAATGATTGGTTTGAATTAGCAATTTAACAGGATTCACATAAATCATTTTTAGTTAAGAAAATTATTAAAGAATTTATGAAAATTTGAGATTGCTAATCATTGAAAGCTACTAGAGTTTTCTTTTTTCGCTACATCGGAAAGAAAAAAAAACAGAGAAGGGGCTAATCCCTCACCCTTCCAGCACCTAACATATCTGCAACCAAAAGGCTGTGAATCTCAGTTAGAAGCTCATTAACTACTAGTAAATCTTCAGGTTGTTCCGTCCCAAGCTTTGCCATCGCATCAGCACAAGTACTTTCGTCTCGCATGACATGAATAACTTCACACTCGCATCCTCTCAGAATGATTCTTGCATCCTCTACTAGTCCCCAAAATGAAAAGTTGTCGCCTGGGCCTTCCTTTAGCAGCTGGACTACTTGCTCCGCATCTGTTTCGACGATAACTTTAGTGAGCCCCCTTTGAAATAGTATGGTAAGACCCTTATAAACCGCCCACAATTCCGCTTCGAGACTACTGTGGCTCTCAATTCTACCGCAATAGCCACTGATCCAGGCTCCTTGTTCATCAAGGAAAAGACCTCCAAAGCCTTCAAATCCAAAACTTTCTCGCAAGCATCCATCCGAGTTCAACTTAATTAAACCTGCAAGACGAGGAATCCACCTAATTAGAACAGAGGATTTTTTTGGTATAACAATAGATTGACTAAAAGCCATATGAATTTCTAAAGAAAATTCAAAAATAAACTTCACACTTTCGAAAGAATTAAAAAATTTATTTTCGAAAATCTTTTTGTTCCTGTTAGTCCAAACTCTCCAAAGAGCAATAATGAAAATAGTTCCAATTGAAATGTGATTGCTATAAGGAGTTTTGTTTTTGGCATTCACAATGATCCAATCTAGCAAAGGTATATTAAGCATTCTCAAATACCATTGAGTATTAAAAGTAGAGGCCCACAGCTCCCCTGCTTGAGGACAAGTTCTCAACATATGATTTAAGTCTTCCATATTATTGCAACTAATACAATTAGAATCATTCGTGAGTCCCCTCCTCATACACATATCATTGGTAAGGAGTTTTCCATTAAGCACCACCCAAAGAAAACCTCTAAGTTTTTGTGGAATTCGCAATTTCCACAACCACTTCCAATCACCCACATGTTGGTCTTTTTCAACAATAATATCATAAGCTGCAGCAGAAGTGAAACCCCTATTCTGGGATCCCTTCCAACAAGGTTTATCAATGAGATTCACCAACCGCGGAGGGTAGATACGCAATATGTCAGGAATTGCTTCCTTCGGTATTTGGTTAGTAATCAAATCCATATCCCACTCTTTTTCCTTATTCAATATTGTACTAACAGTGGCAGAGTTGGATAATTCATGGTTGGGAATAGCCTCATCCAAGGCCGTATCCCCACACCACCAATCTTTCCAAATCCTTACTTTAGTACCATCACTAATGGTTCATTTCACCCCTTTACTCAACACATTTCTAGTAATTAGAAGTCCTCTCCAAATATGAGAAGCTTTTCTTTTCCTAGGCCAATTATAAATGGTATTATGTTTCAAATACTTAGCTTTCAAGACATCTATCCACAATCCTCCCTCATCACAAAGAATTTTCCAGCTAAGTTTGGTAAGAAGAGCGAGATTATTATCTCTAGCTCTCCAGATACCAAGCCCACCATCCTCATTTTTCTTGCAAACTTGATCCCATTTTATAAGATGAATTTTCCTCTGTTCAAGGGTATTACCCCAAAGGAAATTTATGTTCAAATGATCAATATCATCACACACCCTTATAGGGACTTTCATCGTTTGCATAGTGTAAGCCGGAATGGCTGAAGTTACTGATTGTATAAGAGTGGCTCTCCCAGCCAAGGATAGAGTATTGATTTTCCATCCCGCTAGTCTTTTTTTGCATTTTCTCCAAAATGAAGTTGAAATGGCTGTGACTAACTCTACCATGAAGAAAGGGGACCCCAAGGTACTTCCCCAGATCCCTAGTTAAAGGAATACCACACAAGGAACTAAGGGTGCGAACATAGCTACAATTCACATTTGGAAAGACAAACATTTTGGACTTGTGAGTATTAATTTGCAGGCCAGAAATATCACTAAACTTATTAAGAGTTTCCATGATAGTCTCACAACTAGTGGGGTTCGTTGAGGCAAATAAAAGCAAATCATCCGCAAAAACACAAATGAGTGATACACGGGCCTCCGTTACCAATTAAAATGCCTTTTCAAGTATTAAGGGCAGCCTTGTGGCAAATCATGTTAGATAAACGCTCCACACAAAGAACAAAGAGATAAGAAGACAGAGGGTCTCCTTGTCTCAAACCCTTTCCCAGAGTGAAATCCTCCAAAACCCCACCATTCCACCAAATAGCAAATTGAACAGTAGTAACACAACTCATAATAAGCATAATGAGATTGGGATGAAAATTGAATTCCTGAAGAGTTTGTTGCAAAAAATCCCATGAAATATTATCATAGGCCTTCTCAAGGTTAATTTTTAAAATCAAATCACCTTTTTTCTTCTTCTTGCCCATCAGAGTATGAATAATTTCCTGAGTGATAATGATGTTATCACTAGTTGTACGGCCAGGAATAAAACTACTTTGGTTGGGACGAACAATATTATTCAAAAAAGGTCTAATACGACTCACAATAATTTAGTAATGATTTTATAGGTAACATTATAGAGACTAATGGGCCGAAAACTGTTTAATAGTCTCAAAGTTTTCAACCTTAGGACTAAGAGCAATCAAGGTCTGGTTCATCTCTCTAGGGACAGAATTAGTATGAAAACAATTCTTAACAAACTCACACACCGAGGGGCCAACAATATCCCAGTAAGTATGGTAAAAAATAGCTTGAAAACCATCACTACCAGGGGCTTTGAACGCTTTCATATTCTTAACTGCACTCTAAATCTCCTCATCGGTGACCCTTTTACAGATCTCATTATTATTCTCATCCGTGAGCTTACAAGAAATTAACCCATTCTAGTAATTAAGTCTAACAGTGGGAATGGCCTGAAAAAGGTTGATGAAAAAATTTTGAACTAAAAATTTTAAATCATGAATTTGGTCCACCCACTCACCATTGTCAAACTTGAGCATCTCAATTTTCAATCTCCTCCGTTTAATAATGGTGGATACATGGAAATATTTAGTATTTCTATCCCCTTGAGAAATCCAGTTGGATCTAGATTTTTGGAACCACAACAGCTCCTCTTGATAAAGAGCTAAATTGTAATAAAAAATTAACTATTTCTTGAGAATACACAGATTATGAGAAAAATTATTGGCTTGGGCTTTTTGAATTCCTCCAATACGCCCAAGAAGCCATCTTTTCCTTCAAAAAATATTACCGAAAACTTCCTTATTCCACTCCAACGCTCTATCAGCCATCCCTTTCAAATTAGCAACTAATGATGGATATAGGTGTTTCCAGTTAGCAGTCACAACATCACGAAACTCCCCATGGGAAATCCAAGCAGCTTCAAAACGAAACAGTTCCACAAAAGAATTAGAATGGTACATACTTTATATGAGAACCATCAATGGTGAGTGGTCGGAGTAAGTGCGTGGTAGGTTGCGGACATATCCATCCTAAAATAGGGTACGCCATTCAGTATTGCACAATGCTCTATCCAGTCGAACCATAGTATTGGCCCATCATTTTCTATTGTTAGTCCAAGTCAACCTAGGACCCACACATCCGAGGTCCATCAAGTTACAACTATTTGTTCGTTCCACAAATTTTTGTCACCTCCTTTGGCTTTGATTAATGTTGTTTAGTGAGGTTCCAAAAATTGTTCTCTTTTTTGCCTGAGAACTATAGTCAATGAAGTCTCCTGCAACAAGCCAAGGGTCATCATTCTACTGGGCTGTTTGTTCAAGTATCTGCCACAAATCCTCTATTTTCCTTGCATTTGGACTAGCACAAACAGCTGACAGTAACCAATCGGGGTAGTTTTGTCTTGAGACAGTGGCAGTAATAATCTGAGAATTTGCCTCCGATACTCGCACATTAGCCTGAGATGGGTTCCATAACATCCAAATGCCCCCACTTCGACCAACAGGATCAACATGAGCTAAGGCCGTAAACCTCATTCTATTAAAAAACATGCCCATAGAATTTAACTCAACCTTAGTTTCCATAAGTACCAATATTTCTGGCTTATGAATCCTCACTAACTCTTTCAGAGTTCTTTTGAACGTATTGTTACCTACACCTCGACAATTCCAGAAAAGCATATCCATAGATGACATAGGATTTTCAGGTAAATAGGAGTTTCTTGGGACCCCTACTAAAGCCTTTACCTCATTATATCTCTCATCCATTGACTTCATTGGATGTATTGTGATGATGTGTTCGTCGATGTGCGGATTGATCTACCACCATGGTTTAATTATCACCTTCACTTCTTCGAT